TCCATGATTTCAAATATCACTTTGATGTACATACATCTTCGATTAGCAGAAATATTTGACACAACTGATTGTGATAACGGTTGGTTTGGTAGAAAATATATTCTTCTATTTGGGGATTTGCTTCAACTTCCTCCTGTATATGAAGAGCCAGCGTTTGTATCTTTACTTAAAGCCAAAGTAGAAAAATATCTGGGTTCTCTAGGAACGATTAATCCACGGACTACTTTATTTAAACACGATGAGTTAACAATTAGTATGCGTCAACAAAATGATACAGCATACCGTGACTTACTTTCGAGAATCCGAATTGGTAGTGTCACGAACAATGATTCAAAAACTCTTGAATTCAGGCAAATTCAATTTAAATCTTCAACTGCTGCTCTCAGATTACAAGAACTTTGCACTTACATTAATAAATTACCCTGTGATGCAGTTTGTTTGTTACCTACTCGTTACATGTGCGATGTTCTTAATACAGTAATGTTGCAACAAATATCGTCGGATGAAATCATATTGTTAGCACGAAATACTATCCATTGTCCAGTTTATTTAAAAAAAAAAGAAGATTTCTACGATACTGATAAAAAATGATGAAGATAGTTCTCGAACTGCCGGTCTTTCTAGAAGTATAATTATTAAAATAGGAGCAAAGATTATGATTAGGAGAAACATTGACGTCACTTTAGGTCTTGTTAATGGGACCATTGGTCAGGTGACTTCTATTCAACGAATTGTAGATGGGACAGATATTGAGGCGATAAAAATGAAGTTGCCTTCAGGAAATGAATATTCAATAGAACGGGTTACCGTAGAATTTCAGGTGATGGACGGTGCCTTTGTATTTCGTAAGCAATTTCCCATTTCTATTAGCTATGGAATTACTATCCACAAGGGTCAAGGACTCACTCTGAACAATGCCGTCATCGATGCTGGCAATCATGTGTTCAGTTGTGGTCAAATTTACGTTGCCCTCTCACGCGTTACCTCTGTGGATGGAGTGCATTTGATCAATTGCGATCCACAATCCATCAATTCAAGTGAAGCAGCAATAGTTGAATATAATCGATTAAAAAATTATATAAATCTGAGGTCCTAGAAATTCCTATTCCAAAGAAACGTCATCAAAAAAAGACGGATTTCGTGTGGATAACACACACAAATATCATTGATGTTCAAGAAATGATACAAGAAAATACTGATAAAGTCCATCACAACGTCAAAGGATTAAAAAATATTGATAACGTTTCTTGCTATGCTAATGCAATCATGCAATGCATTCTTCATTGTGCACTGATCAACAGAACGTTAAGAAATCAAAAAACTTCTGATGCTCTTACTCGTGCTCTTGCTACTTGCAGGGTGAATCGATAGATTCATTCGAAACTAGACAATTTGCTGGTGATAAGTTTTGTACAAATAGTCAACGAGATGCATCGGAGTTTCTAATAGCGCTTTGTAACAAATCAGATAGTATTGGCAATATTATTGACCATCAATTAACGACAACAATTAGATGTAAAACTTGTGAAAGAAACTGCTACAAATACTCAACGTAATTTCATAATAACATTACCTATTTCTTCATCTGCAAAGAGTTTTAATCTGCAGGTGTTAATTGATTCTTCTTTATCACATTGGCATTATATTGATGACGATTATTGCCAACAGTGTCATGAAACTAGTAAAATTCTAAAATATGAAGTTTCATTGGTAAAGAACGCGGTTGTCCTTCAACTGTTACTTTACCGTTTTCAGGATGGGGATATGATTAAAATTGAAACTTGCAAAATCAAAGAGATTCCCACAAGTAAATTATCATTAGGTGGAAATAATTACAAAGTAACAAGCGCTGTGTTTCATCATGGACAACATCTAACCAGTGGTCATTATACAGGCATGTTAAGAGATCCTGATTCCAGTTGGATCTTTACGGGTGACTCTAATATCAGTAAACGATCTTGGCCCAGATGTGCGAAAGATGCATATGTTTTCTTCTTACAAAAAATACCATAACCTAATACTGCAGCTAATCGATTGAGAACTGTCAAAATAAGTAGCCTGGCGTTCAATCGCCACCACAACTGCCAAAATGAGCAGCCTGGTGTTCAGTCGCCACCACAACTGCCAAATAAAGAGGAAAGAATGAAGGATAAGTGGTCAAGGAAAATTACAAGATTCCAAAGAAAGCACGATCAATACTATCTGACAGCAAAACCTACAAAAAAATGGCCGATTAAAACTTTAAAGTCATCTTCGACAAGGAAAAAGTCGAAATCGTGGATAACAATAGAAATATAATTCTTACCGCTGATACCGTTAAGGGATAAAAATCGAGGGTCCGCGTCGAAGGATCGCGCGATCGGGAGGGGAGGAGGCTCGGCTGCGGTGGCGGTAGGGCGGATCGGACGGCGAGGCACGAGGACTAATATCCTACGGCGATGAGGCCACCGACCGCACGCTCCCCGCTAACCGCCCGCTGAACACCTGATCATCCCGACGTGCGAGCTGGATGGCAAGGTACCGCGGGAGGGGGGTATTTTTGTTTTGGTTCGGCTAAATTCGGCAAACCGGTTACAATAGGACTCGGCAAGCTTCGGATTTGCCGAATTTAATCTCTTTCCCTCGGAGAAGGGCCGAGATAGTCGTCTTCACGGAGCCCAGATAACAATCGAATACACTCCAACCGATGAGATGGCTGCGAACATTTTTACCAAGGGACTATCCAGGCCAAAACACATGAAGTGTGTGAAACTCCTCGGTTTGTCTAACTTCCCGATCTCGAAGAAGAACCATCCTTAAATCGAGGGGGAGTATTGAATTTTAAAAGGCACGCTATTGCGATTTTAGTATGTCGCTGATATAAGATCGCACTTTGCACACGCCATGCTTCTCTCTCTCGAGGTCGCAGCAACAGCAAATATCCACAATACATTGCACAAAGGCACCGTATTCTGATGGACGATCAACCGCTAATTCAATTGGTTCGCTTCAAGAGATACAAGTCTCCAAGATAACGAACGGTCGTGACAACCATCCACTGTCAACGACAACGAATCATGCAATAGCATTAAGGTTAATCGAAAGACAACTATACGCAATTTAGTAACGACATTTGGCTGCTGTCGCACCATCGTGACGCATCTGCACGATCTTGACTGTCGCAAGATGATAGCATGATGGATCCTACATCGGCTAACTGATACTCATCGTCAAGTCATAGTCGACATCTACGAATCACTTCTGTTCTAGCCGCATCGCAAAAAGTTTCTCGAGGATTTAGTGACTGATGATGAGAGCTAGATCCTTTACAACAACAATGTACGGCAACGCTATGTGACTTCCTCGCAACGTAGAGCCGTCAATGCAGCTGAAGTTGAATCTTATACGTACAAGCGTTCTCTTTCTGTTTGGTAACATGCGAAAGATCCGCTGTACTACGGGCTACTTTCTGCAAAGAAAACGGTAACAGCTTCCGTATATGTTGATTAATTTTAGAAACAAACCAACGACATTCAAGGAAAACATCCGGGACACACAACTGCTCAAATCCTCCAGGACAATTTACACTCACCTTCACATTGCTTCGGAAACTCGACTGAAAATCGCGGAGCTTGGATAGCACCGTACTCTTCGAACAGAGAGCCATCAGATTAATAATTGTTCCAACTACTGAAGCTTTATCTGCGAAGGAAAGTGTTTGACAAATACGCTCTCAAAATAGCAATCGACAACTTCTTCACATTGCAAGTTTATTCCCGAAAGAATAGGCAATCACCAATTCCAATATCTTCAAATATGGTAATCTTCTGGTGTCACGTCTATGATTATCACGGTAGAAAGCTTACGAAGATTCCTAAATGACTCAACTTCTTTCTAAATGAATTTCATTCTACATTTAAAATTATATTTTCCTTTCGAATTTACATATATTTTTTTGTTTCTAAGATAAATGAACTTACTTAGTATAAATTACATTGATATGCCTTTTAAAATTTTCGACAACGCAATATATTTATCTGATTAGTGATATTACAATGTATTTATACTCCTGTACTTGGCGTAGTTTTTTACACGTAAGTGTTTTTTGGGGGATTGGCTAATAGCACAGTCAAGCCGAGTTTATGCATTGAACCGCGTCGAAGAAAACGAAGCATAAATCTGTTCAAGCCGCCGTGTAAACGTAGTCAGTGACTAACACAGGCATTTCCGAGGGTTATATTTTAGTAAAATCATAACCGAAATAAAGCCGTCGTGTGATTGTAGTCTCGACCACGTTCACACGGTCTTATTTCGGATTAATTATTACTCATCTAACGGAACTGATAAGTCCCAAATATTTCTTGAAAGTGGAAATGCCTGTGTTAGTCACTGACTACGTTTACACGGCGGTCTTGAACCGGTTCAGTTAATACTGATCTAAAAGAATGGACCAATCCTGAATTGACTAAGTGTGTTCGAAAATGAATCGAGGCAACAATGTTCGCGCACTCTCGGCTGATCTTAGAACGCAGCTGTTATAGGTGTGTTCGCAAACCAATCATAATGTTCACATTTGCAATCGAGCTAAGTGAAAATCAAATTTTACTTATTATTTAAAGATGCTTTAATTAAATAAATAACTAATTGTGGAGCAATTGGGAGTACATCGGGCGCAATTAATTCATCAAGAAACATATGAAAATCTGCTCGGTTATTTGGAATTTCAATAAAAATAAAAATTTTCTGTTCAATGAATATATATTAATCACTGCATAGTAGCAGTGGAGCAATTGCGGAAACATATGAAGCATTTAAGGAGCAATTTTTTAAGCATTATAAACATACAAATTTTGATTTTCCCGCGCTAACTTTCCGACGGTACGCGCGGCTACGCGAAATCTGTAACATCGACAGAGGCGATGATCACGAAATCCTACTCCCGGACTCGCCGCATTGATTTAGCGCCATGCTTTTGGTACCGCCCAGTACCGCCTAAAACCGTAGCGTTGTGCATCTCCCCACTCATCTCTGGTCTGTAGCACGGGAGTGCCGTATCTCCAATAAGTGGTCTGTGGAATAACGTATATTGCATTATGGTGGTTCATTTTTCGATTGGGGAAAGACATTTGTTTTGTTTATTTCTTCTGCCTTACGCGGCGCACTAATTCTGCACATATCGTTTACCATTATATGGAGATACTTCTTAGCGATCTTTTAAATTTTCTAAAGAGTAATACTGGTTAAAGATATACTCAAGTATTATACTTCTTCAAAATTCGCAGTGCACTTCTTTTCCGCAAGAACTTTCCGATACGAAGGGAGTGTATTTCACATCAACATATTTGGCACTTACGAACTCCTGTAAGAACACCATTTAACGTTTGTATTATTTTCGCATTTGTAGACTATTGTTTCTGAAGTTGATACATAATACGCCTCGTCAAAAACTTTAAACACAAAATGGCGGACGTAACACTGTAACAACTGTAGATTAATTTATATAGTCGCAAATGTGTATCATTACATGACGATGATATACGTATTGTATCGATGATGAGATAATCAGATATGAGAAAATAATTACGTTTTAGGAAATTCACTTGATCTTTAGTTGGAAGCTATTTTAATTACCCGCACTTTGAATTTAATTCTCCAGAATGTTAGGTATAAAATGTCATTCAGGTGATACTAACTTTGACGAAAGAGATAAATAGCCTGGGCATCTCATGGAATACTGCTATATATAGTTATAGAATATATATCTGTACAAACATCAGAATCGCGAGACACAATACATGGCTATGTTTAATCTATTTATATGTTCAGTTAAAGAAACTAGGGGTACGTTGCAGAATTTACCTCTTGCCAGTACTGTGACTATCACTGTATGCCTATTATTTACCTGCATGCAACTGAGTGAGATAACTATACCACAGTACTGGCAGTAATTTTCATAACATACCCAAAGCATGCACTATCTATTGACAAAAATTAATGTATTATTTTATTGAGGATATGAAATTAATCTTGAATTGCATACACTAAAATTAAATATAGCAATGTTAACTACCACATATTTGCTGATGATACTTCAAAATCTAAAATTGCAGTCTGAGTATATATTTTTCTTATGGGGCTTTGTATCTGACAGATATATGTATGTACTTAAATCAAGATAGAAGTTTTAATTTACAATGTACTGTAAGTCTTGTCATACACAACGTATGTGAACACTGGCCCTGTACCAGTACTTTTGTAAATATATCTTGGTCATTTAATTTCTTTTATGAATTTATACTTGTCTAAAATATTAAAATAAATATTAATACATAATTTTTTCTTTTAGCCAAATTATGTTCCGGATTCCAAAAACGTCAATGCTTTCTACAAGTAATGTAAATAAACGTCCCAAGGAATCTAGGAGCTGTTTTTACTCATCTTATGAATGTACACAATCTTGCTTGGATGGCTATTCATATTGTGCAAAACACATTCTACAGGATTCAAACTCACCATTTAAACAGTGTGGTTTTGTGTATAATACAAATGGAAGAAAATGTCAAAATCCAGCACCAAAGCTAGATCGGAGAGATCTTGCGTATGTATGATACATATGTATACTTCATATATTGAAATATTATGAAAAGAGATATAGAGTTAATTAGGACCAATGCATATATTAAAACTGGTTGTACCATACAAAATCAGTCATAAATGATGTATACTTGCCCAATTAACAGTGCTGCTTTTCTTGGCAGGTATTGTATGGACCATACAAGAAAGGCACAAGTAGCGCGAATAAAATCTACTGTACGTCATTCGTTACCACAAAATCCAGAGACCCTTTTATTGAATCTTAGTCACTATGTCAAGCCCACAGATTCAAGTGCAGAAGACACGGAGGACGATGAAAGCAAAATAAAAGCCCTAGATCCATTCAGTGAGTCACTTTTATATTTCATGCGTAATGCATAAATATGATATCGAATTTATTCTATTTCATTTGATAATTTTCTCTACAGTGGAAGTGGATGCATATAGAATAAATGCCAGTGGATGCGATGTCTTGGATTATGCTAGTTCCTCTGATAGTGATGTAGAACCCACTGCAGTTAACGATACTTTACGAGAAGCCTTGTTAGACGATAGCGACAATGAAAGTCTGCACAGTCCACAAGAAGACCCTTTAAAGTAAGTTTTGCTTTGAATTTGAAAGCACGGCAACTTTGTTTATTTAAAAGTTAATCTGTTTGCTGCTCAACAATGCAAGACGCATTTCATGTTAACAGAAGATTGTATGCTAGATATGCTTCAGCTTGTGCATTCTATAAATCTTCTTGTCTATTTTAATAGTAGGTCCACATTATTTTAATCTCTTTTATGCCATATACTTGTGTTCAAGAATATTGACGAAATTCTGTCGAGCTAGATAAACATGGTTATAAAAAGTTTCGAACGAGCCACAGACAATTTTAATAGGATATAATTCTGATTCTGAACTATCAGATATCCGTGATGCAAACCATCAAGAATCTTGTGGCAATAAAGCATTTAAATTTCTGATCGAGACGTGGACGCACCTACTTCGATTAACATGTAATTGCTTCTGGCATGAACAAGACACTTTTTATCTATTGAATCAATAGTATTCATTTTTTAAGGCACGCAGGAATTTTTACTGCGGAGGAAGTAATATACATCGCACGTGAGAAGCTCATCAGACTTCAATCGCTTTATATTGACCAGTTTCGCCGACTGCAGTACACGCTTAGAGAAAAGCGACGAAGATACTTGCATTCTTTGAAGAAGGAAAAAGAAACTTTATGTATGTAAAATCGTCCACAAGTGAAATGTGTTTTCTTGTTGATAGACCGAAAACTATTGATTTGTCATGTAATTGTTTATTTCCAATAGGTAGCATACATGATCAATCAAAAGAAATTACACGGGAGAAAAAAATATATGAAAAATTGAGGGCTCTGAACAGTTATCATAGACGAAGTGGGGTCGAAGCCATATTGTATAAAAAATCTTTAGAAAGAAGAGCACAGGCAACTGAAGGACCAATGCAAAAACTGCCTAGTGTACCAAAATGTATTTTTACAGAAGGTGGTGTTAAGTGTGGAGATAGAACATTACCTTCAGCTAAACATTGTAGAAAACATATTCTCAAGGTATGTTATATACTGACCAAGGTATTAGTAACTATCAAGACATTGAGAGTTTGTCAATAACTTGAGTAATTCTTTTTGTCTCACAGGATCAACATCAAGTACTGTTTAAAGCATGCGGAGCAATCCATGCAGATATAGAATGCCATGAACCCGTGCCGGTAGTCTTTGATTCAAACTGTGTTTTTCACATGAATTTATCACCTCCCTTGAAACTGGAAACTATTATAGTAAGTTTCAGTGGGATGATTGTTTAATGTGAAATTCATATGCTCTTTTTTTTGTAGTTTGACGAACCCAAACCTATAATTCAGGAAACGTCTATAACTGATAGTCAGTCAATGGAGATTGATGTGGTAGGTGAGGCGCAAGAAATAGATCCTGACGATGATATGGCTGGTTTAATGAGAGAAATGAATGATGTCGCACAGAAAAAGCCTACCTTTAATGAAGGCTTAAACAGTGAAGCTAGTACGGACACAGCATTCAGTTTAACAGCACAAATGAGTGATAAAGACGAATTAATATCAGTTTGTGGCAATTAAAAATATGAATATATCTTCAGTTTCAGCCTATTCTTTGTTACTCTAAAAAAAAACATTTTCCTTCAGGAGGGAAATCCAATTAGAAGCATTAAAAATGCATGATTGTCAGGAATTTTTTTGACAAGGAAAGATTAGTATTATATTTTTAGAACTTTGGCGTTTGTTTATACATATTTTTTAAATTGAATAATAATATTAAACGGTCGACATATCGCTACCAAAGGTGAGTAGGGAGATTGCCAATGGGCCAGTGCCATAGTCACGTTTTTGATTGGCCGAGTATATATAGATTGTAACATATTCTCTTAACTCGACACCGATAGCGAAAAATCAGAAAACTACTATCTTCGAGAACCAACCTACGTTACCTTCGGCCGTTCACCCTTCGCTCATGCATCCGCAAGCCAGACGAGCGCCAGCCAATTCTTTTGTCACCTGGGAGTTGAGAAAGAGCTCTGACGAACCCTATCACAAAATACGATAACTTAACGGATCTTATCGATTTTTGGGGACGCGTAAAATCGAGATACGCAACTGGATGCACGAATGGAAACGAATGGTTACGGAAATACATGGCCGCTCAGGCTGCTAGGTTGAAGTAGAGATGGTCGGAGTAAGCATCAGGCAAATAGTGCGAGATACAGAGAGCAACTGATCGAGAACATAAAAGAACGATTCGGAAGTATCAAATCGAAATCCCTTCACCAATTAATAAATTAGGACCCCTCATCGGGGTTGGTAAAGCTAATCCGCGAATGCTGAAAACGGTATCCAGAGGACACTCGAGTGGGCACAGCACTACACCTCCGGAACACACTCAGAAAATCCATATAGTTTCCTGCATATCGCGAGAGCAACGAACTTTCTATACCATATCGAAACACAGCTAGAAAAACTATCATCAGATAGCACGGAAGCGCAAGCCAACTCGTGACACCTCAGTCGGTGACTCGAGACAGACTGCTTTGTCAATAGTCAAATTCAAGAACTAATCATTCTAATTGGTTCAAATCCTTATAGCCGATAACTCTTCCTTTTTCTTGAGTCATACCGTTAAACTAAATAGAGAGCATTCCTTAGCGAATCTGTATATAACTTTTAAAAATCCTCCACGGCATCGGGTGGCAGCTAGGCATCACATCCTTAATTCGGGTCAGGGGGTTCTTCCTCTGCTCTTAAGGAGGTCCTGTCGAAACTACCTACTTCAATTTCCACGTCTGAAACTTTTATAGGTTATGAACTAAACAATTCTGAATTCAATTGTAAAATTTGAAGGTCGGTCACCGACGAAAATGTTAAGAAATAGTATGTACATTATGATATAAGTGTGGGAAGTTGGAATCACCAACTCGCAGGCATATCATATACTATTTTTTGCAATAATGTACGGAAAGTTCGCAGTATATGCACCAAAAAGAAGCACGAAATAGCGGATTCTTGATGAGTCCGGAATGTGCGTGAATCATAACATTCCCATATGAATACTACACTTTCTTTAATAAAATTTAAATTAGTCCCGCACGATATTTCGTGCGGGAATGTTATGATTTCTGCACACTGAACTCATCAAGAATCGGTTATTTCGTGCTTCTTTTTTGGTGCACAACAACAACGGACTTTCCGTACAATGTTGCAAAAAGTAATATTAAAAACGAAACTTTATAGTATATGGATTCAGAGGTCACAGAGATTGAATTTCTACTTTGGATGAGAAACTAATATATTTAAAGTGAACTTTGAAGCAAAAAATTATATGATAATACTACGGATTTCGTGAATTCTTCAGGATTCGATACATACCATAAAAAAGTGACTTTACCGAGTGTTTCAAAGAGTATTTGCAAACCAAATTGCCGGATCTCTATTGATTCAACGGGAGAGATCCAGTAAACAAATAAAAGTAAAATGAGAGTATGATTTTTAAATATATTTGTACAAATGAGCTAATTTTACAAAGATAAACACCTACAAACAAATTTTTAAACTTAATGTGAATAATTTCGTAGAAAGTCCGGTTAGTTTTAATCGATTTATGGAATTGATTCAATAGTTGTTCAATTGACCAGCATGCATCAACAGGACCTCCTTAATCGTATCAAAACTATATCTCCGCCCGTTCTATAGCCCTTTGCCCATCTTCGTCGGGGCGCCAGTGTCTCCCTCGGGCTTCTGCCTGTTCGTGGAGACCAGGGGGTTGACACTCCAATAGGTTGTAGTGAAACAGAATAGTGATATAACCTACCGATCAGATGGCGCAGCGGTAACATGCGCAGTAGAGTCCTTCTAGTAAGAGTCCGGCCAACGGTGGGGCTTGTTAGTGATTGGCTCCGCCATATTATGGGCTCTTTCCGGAATAGAATGGTGTGTGTGTGAATACGTATATGGGAGAGATTCGCTTTGTGTAGTGTGGGTAGTGTTAAGCCCTGTACGGCGGGTACACCTATACTTGGCGCGAGACTCGACCGAGTCTCTTGATGGTAAAGATTGATAGTTCGAAAATCCGCGCGCAATGTCATGGTGGCTCCAAACAAGCCCTTGATATGGCGTCCCTTCCGGGTGTTGGCCTCTTACTGATTGACTCTGCCATTTTGAGGGCTCTTTCCGGAATAGGATGTGTGTGTGTGAATACATACATGGGAGGGATTCGCATTGTGTAGTGTGGGTAGTGTAAAGGCCTTCACACACAAAACGACGTAACGACGTAAGACGTAACCGTAAGCCGTAATCAGTAAGCACCATCGCACACCACGCGCGTAAAGAGTAAGCTACGGCCAATCACACTCCAGAAAGAGTTGCGCATTTTTATCAAAGTGTCGTCATTGTACATACTATAATTTTATTTATGTACCTATTTTCCCTCCATGAGTTCTCCTTCAATGACTTATCTTTAAAATCTTTATGTTCATGATTATAAAGGTGTGGATAACCTCTTACATGATGTATGAGCAATTTGTTCGCTGATCTGGTTTCGTTTTCTATTAAGATATCCAGTTTTTCGTTATCCGTATTACAATACATTGTTGAACAATATTGCTTATGATCACTCATTGCTGGTTTTATTCAACATCAAAGCCACTCGTCTCACGTATAAACAATGTTCTTTTTAAGCGAGAACGCGAGAAGGTTTGTGATTGGTTGTCCGTAAGAAGTAAGCCGTAACGATTTCATCCTTACGATATTTTTCACCATTACGGCTTACGTCTTACGGAGAAAATTGGAGGGGACGGTACTAGATTCTGATTGGTTGGTTTCCTTACGCTTACGTCGTTACGTTATTTTGTGTGTGAAGGCCTTTAAGTCCTGTACGGCGGGTTACCTGTACTTGGCGCGAGACCATCGACATATAGTACTGGACTGCTCACTGTAGCTGCAGAAAGTGTAATCGGAAATAGAAAGAGAGAGCAAATCGTAAGGACCGTTCTGTCTTTTTCTATAATTTTTCTATTGGTCGAAAGGTTTCTGGATGGAAGGGGTTCCGTACTGTAATATGCAAAATAAGAACCATGTGAAAGATTACTCCGCACATCTAGAATATACGTTGTTACAGTCGAATCTTGGAGACAGAAGCCTCCGTGAGTTAAATCCATCGCTCAAATTTCAATTATCGTGATTGCTTTATGGTAGTTGAGTTCATAAAAATTCAATATTAAAAAATGGTGATTCATTGTGTTATGTGTGGGCTATCGCGATACGTATACTTTAAGCCCAATACGATAAATTTTCACAAGTAAGTAAAGTGGAAATATAATCTTAAATTTTATGGTTAACATAAGATTAAATCAATTCAAATCAAATTATAAAATATATAAATAAAGTTCATCATGAAACATACATTTTACTACGCGGTGTTCCCTTATTCCTGATTCCGCTCCTGCCCAAGAGAAGGACAGAAGAAGGTCCTTACGATTTACTCTCTCTTTCTATTCCCGGTTGTGAGCAGTTCAGTACTATATGTCGATGGTTTTTTCACTGAATACGCCATGACCTACGTAGTACCGTGCCTGACTGCCAAGCGTCGCGGTAGTCGAATCCAAGCTCCGAATGGGTACACCATTATGGCGGCGAGCTCGTATCCAGTTAGTATACAGGGTTAGTCAGTAGAAACGCACCAGCAGAAGTTGGCCGCAAGTGACCGACACAGCAGTATGGCATCTTCAAAAAATGACATGTGACTGTGACCCATTCCCATAAGCACAAACTGACAGTTCGCGTAGCAATAAGGTTATTGAAATATTTCAATAGTTAGGTTACTGAAATAATTAATTAATATTGTAATGACAAAATATAATATCAGTTAAGATTTATTTTCGCAATAGATTTTTTGCTATAAAAACATTTCAATTAATTGATTTTTAAATTAATTGCAGCATTGTATTGCAGAATTGCAATTGTGATCATTACTTGGAAATATCAAAATTGTGAATATTTTAAACTTTACATTATTTTAATTGCAATCTGTTGTGAACATAAATCTTAAATGATATTATATTTTGTCATTACAATATTAATTTATTATTTCAGTAACCTAACTATTGAAATATTTCAATAACCTTATTGCTACGCGAACTGTCAGTTTGTGCTTATGGGAATGGGTCACAGTCACATGTCATTTTTTGAAGATGCCACACTGCCGTGTCGGTCACTTGCGGCCAACTTCTGCTGGTGCGTTTCTACTGACTAACCCTGTATACTAACTGGATACGAGCTCGCCGCCATAATGGTGTACCCATTCGGAGCTTGGATTCGACTACCGCGACGCTTGGCAGTCAGGCACGGTACTACGTAGGTCATGGCGTATTTAATAAAAGGATAAAGTAGAGTAGTAGGAAACCACGGATCGTTTATATACGGAATTAATGCAAATAATAAAACGGTACATATACAGCTTGTGGAGAAACTTGAATGTTGCAATTTATTATGGTATATCTTGTAATATTGCCTTTTATCCTTATAAGTTTAGATATATGGATATATATTAGATAAGGATGAATAGGAATATTACAACATATATCGCGACGTTTCGTGATTTT